GTTGGAGGAGACATCACCGAGTCAGAGTCGGAGGAGCAGGAGGAGGAGGACGACGAGTAGTTGAAATATGACTATCTTTTTTTTCTATCTATTTTTATACCTATGCTATGAAATATCTATCCTATTCTTTTTTATCTTTTTTATCTACCTATGCCTATCTATGTGTGAACAATCTTGTTTTTAGGTATGGATGAGCATCGCGCATGCTAAATTTTAGCGCTTCTGCTGGAGCGGCACGCGCGTAAATTTTTGTAGTGGCCACTGGAGCCAGCGCTCTGCGGCGCGCAAAAGGTTGCTATTTCGGTGCTGTAAACTTATTTTAGCGTGCCGCACGCACATGTTGAAGATGCTCTTATCTAATTCACTGTGTTTTCATGCATTGCGCTGCATCACCTGTGGTTTTTATGCGGAATGTACCCCAAAGCCCTATATGTATCAGAGTACTCCTTGAGGAGCCCGCGCAACAGTTGCTATTAGTGTGCTGAGAGCGCGTGTCACATGCTGGGCGGCGCATTCTCTTTGGATTAAATTATTTTTGTGTGTTTTGGCCTTTAGATGTTTTTTGTTTTTTCGCCTTTTTGGTTTCTTCTGTTTTAGACAAATAAAATTTGACTTTTTTTTATGAAAATCCACATTTTCTCCATGAGATGCACATATTTAATTCTTGTTGAGGTCGTGGGAGAAACATATTTACTTTTCGGGTAGTCACAAAATTGCTTCTGTGAGCTTTGCCTCTTGGAAAAGGAAAACCACGTATTTTTATGAGAGACACAAATTTACTTCTCATGTAGGCACGAATTTGCTTCCACAAGAGACACAACTGTGCCTAGAAAAATGAAAAAACAACATGTTATTTTCTTCCGTGAGACGCATAGATTTGCTTCTGCGAGGGCAGCTGTGCATCTTAAGGAGAAAAACATGTTTCCTTTTCGCCTGCGAGGGGCACGTATTTGCTTCCGCTAGAGGTACAGATTTGCTTCTGCTAGAGGCACAATTGTGCCTTTCGAAAAGAGAAAAAAAATTCTTTTGTTTTTTGTTTTTTCGTACGGTTTTTTTCGTGAAAAAAGTTCATCAAAACCTATCAACATATAATATAGTTTCGAAGATCTTGACACGAGAAATCAAATGGTGAAAACGGTTTGGAATTTAGATCCACGGTTTAAAAAATAAAACATTCTGAATAAACGAATTTATGGAAAAGAAGAACTCACAGGGTGTGATAAGTAGCACAGATGCAGTGCGCTACTTGTTGCAACTTGGGAAGGTTGGAGAGACCTTTGCAAAGAGTACTCCTTAATTAGGGTCTAGCTTTAGGTGAGATAGGTAAGATCGGTTATTTTGGAAAAGGTAATGCATGTTAAAAAAAATCTGAAAATCAGTTATTTTGAAAATACAAAGTATGTTGAAAATTCTGAAAATATTTAAAGACACACATCCATATATGATGCACGACCTCAAAAAGTTTCAGCTCCTAACCTAACCTACACTTGTAGAAAAAAAATCAGATGTGAATAGTGCCAAAATACTAATCACCCAAAGCTAACACTATTCGAAGTTGAATTTGTCATTTTTGTATCTATCACTGTAAATTGAGTTTGGAGCTGATTTTTGTTTAAATACGATTTTTTGGGCAGATTCTAGGATCTCACCTAAAGAGCAGATTCCATTCTAGTTTCTCCCCTTAATTAGTGATTCCGTTGTGTCTCGCATATAACGTGATTATGTCTCGCTTCGAGGGGACCTCGCATGAAGGGGAGCCCCATATGGGCCGGCCCAGGCGGGAGCTCCTGTTCGGTGCCCTCGGTGCCACTTACTCTGTGGCACTCGAAGTCGAGGTATAATGGGTCGGCCCAGGATCGCTCCCTCACAAGCATCACTCGATCGGTTGCATCACACCCAATTAACCGGTTCACTAATTTACCGCTAAACCGTTGATTTTTTAAAAAGTTCATCAAAACATATAAATTTGAAAAGAGTTTGGAAATTTTGAAAGAAGTTCATTGATTATCAAGAAAAAGGTTCATAAATTTGAAAAAAAACTCATTATTTATTAAAACGGTTCATCGATTTTTAAAAAGTTCATCAATTTTAAAGAAGGTTCATCGATTTGAAAAAAGTTCACAAATTTTTCAAAAAAGTTCATTGAATTTCAAAAAAGCTCATCAATTTTTTTTAAAAGTTCATCGAGTATGAAAAAAATTCATAAATTTGGAAAAGGTCTGTCGTTTTAGTAAAAAAGTTTGCCGGTTTTCAAGAAAAATACAAGAGTTTGAAGAATTTTTTTATATTTTAAAAGCTCACACATTGAAAAAAAAGCAAAAGAAAAAAGAAAAGAAACTGGAGAAAAAATGACCAAGTACCAACCGCCTAGAAAACCAACCAGCAACCAGAAGAAAGAAGAAAAAGGAAGGAAAAAGTAAATACGTATGCATCTTAGTGGTTATAGCGATTTGAAATGAACAACAGGTCTCAGGTTCAACTCACGGGAGCTCCTATGCGCCGCATTTTGCGGCAAACAGTTACAGTTTTGCATAGGCGAGTGTCTGCCTGGGCTGACCCATGAAGGAATGGATAGGCAGCAACTACCGACTGAGCTACAGAAGGTTATTGAACACAGATCAACGAAAACCTTTAAGAAGCAACATACGCCCTGATCCGACGTATATTTAGAATTTCTAACGCATTTTTTTTTTGAAAAAACCCTGAGTGTTTCATGAAACACAAATAATTTTGAACTTGGAAAAAGAATTTTTTACAAACAGAAACATTTTTAAAAACCGGAACATTTTCTAAATTTTTAAACACATTTTGGAAACTGGAACATTTTCTGAAATTCAAAAACATATCTTAATTTGTGAACAAATTTGAAAAATAGGAACATTTTCTAAAATTCCTAGATTTTTTTGATTATGCGAAAAAAAATTAAGAACATGCTTTTTTTAATTTAAGAACAAGTTTTAAAACATGATTTTTATGCATTTTTGAACAAATTTGGAAAATGGAAACATATTCTTAAACTAAACATTTTTTTAGTTTGTGAACAAAAATTTAGAAAGACAAACACTTTTTGAATTTTGGAACATTTTTTTGAAAACAAGCGATCAACTATTCAAATTCTAATCTTTTTCGAAGTTTCTGTACAAAAATTAAAAATCAGGAACATTTTCTGGAAAATCATACAAAATTTGAAATTTTAGATGTTTTTTAAATTTCTGAAACATTCATTAAAAATAGAAAAAAACTCAAAAAGAAAAGAGCAAGAAAGAAGAAAATAAAAAACAGACAGAAAAAAGGTAGAGAAAAGACGAAAAAGGAAAGATTAATCAAAAGTAAAAACGAAAAATAAATATAAATAAGAAAAACCGGTTCAGGACCTTCTAAAATGTTCGCAAAACGAGAAAAAAATCGGCTGGGAATATCCATAGAAGGTTCCCAAAACCAGTATGGTTGTAACGCTAACAGGCCGGCCCACCCACCGAGCGCTCGGTGTACCACGATTGTTTACCGCTTAGAGCTGCAAATAGGGTTTTCCTCAACTCCTAGCACTTGTATTTTATTTTGAAGTTTAAAAAGAAAAGTGAAAAAGGATTAACTGGGCCGGGTCAGTTTGGAGGGGTGTGTGAGCCGGTTGGCAAATTACCCTGTAAAATGCCTGCCCATGCGCACATGATGTCCAAGCCTTGTTGTTTTTTCTGTTTTTTACTCACGGTTGTTGTTTTCGTTTTTTGTTTTTTCTTACTTTTTATACACATTCAAATATTCGAAATATATATATTAAGGAAAACACTCGACACAAAATATTAACCAAGTATTTGAAAAAATGATACATGTGGAGAGAGAAAATATTTATCATGTATACAAAATATATTTTATAAAGATAATCAAGCATTTGAAAAATGTTGAAAAATTATTTCAAAAATATTTGTCAAGCATTTAGAAAATGTTAAATGTGTATCTGAAGACCATGTATTAAAAAATAATGGAAAAATGATCATGTATATAAAAATGTTAATCAAGCATATAAAAACATGTTGAACAAGGATTTAACTTTTTTAATCAAGCATTTGAAAAATAATGAATGTGTATATAATTTTTTGATCATGTATTAAGAAAATGATTAAAATTGAATCATTTATATAAAAGTGTTAACTAAGCAAAAATGTTGAACAATTATTTAAAAATTGTTAAAGGTTTATAGAGAAAATGTTAGCGATGTATTAGAAAATGATAGAAACAACTGATCATGCATATAAAAATGTTAATCCAGCAGTAGAAAGAAAAAGTTGAACGAGTATCTGAAAAATATTAAGTGTTTAAAGTAAAAATATTGACCATGTATTCAAAAGATGTTAAACTTGTATTTGAAAAATGTTAAATGTGTATTAGATACATACAAAAAATGTGTATAGAAAAACAACGAAAATCCAAGGAAAAACTAAAGAAAAACGAGGGAAAAAACAAAACCTAAGAAAATGAAAGAAAATAAAAGAAAAAGTTATTGAAAACCAAGAAATAAACAAAGAAAATCAAAGAAAAACAAGAAAGTGGAAAGGAAAGGAAAAACTTGAAATCAGAGAAAGAAATGAACTAAACCCGGTGAAAACAAGAAAAAACATAAAATCCGAAAAGCCAGTTGAAACCCCACTCTTTTACTTCAACTTGGTCACACTCTAGTATTGTGACACGAACTCAACAATTACTTAGTAGCTAGTAGCGCAACGCTGTAACTAGGAACAGCGCCGGTCCTCGAGTTTCAGAGGCCCCGGGGCGAACTCAAATGAATGGGCTGAGTGGCGACATTGGAGGAAAAAAATGATCCCATACATTGATAGAAAAAAATTCTTGCAAAGCTATAATAAACAGTGGTAATTTTCCTTGGTAAATAATACTCGAGGTATAGATAACAACGTCATACTTCAGGTCTAAATCAAATATCATAGAAGTTACAGAGCATAACGAAAAGTAAATCATATGCTAACGAACCTCCAAGCCTCCAGTAATCATGAGAAACGGCTCCTTCGTGCATTTTTTGATGCAAAATCATTAACGGCGGTATCAAGATCAATGTTATCCAACACATCCTTCTCAATACAACATATTGCCAATCCATTCAATCTTTCTTGCGACATAGTTGACCTCAAATAATTTTTCAACAACTTCAATTTTAAAAAACTTCGTTCACCTGATGCTACCGTCACATGCATAGTTAAGAGAATTCGGTAAGCAGTTGACACGTTTGGATAGCAATCTGCAGCTCTAACAAACTCAAATATCTGATCTGCTGACATGACTGTATTTGGCAATGTCATTTGCAACACTTTCAGTTCAGAAACAAAATCATCCAAGTCAACATCTGCTGAGTTGTCATGAGAAAAAGTCTTTGCAAAATTAGCGCAACATCTTCTCAGGTCATTATCATCCAAGGATTTCAATTTTTTAGAGTTGAATAAGAAGCCAAATATACTCCCAAATGACATAAGATCATCAAATCTGGTGGTCAGGGAATTAATTGCAACATCTATCATCACCAGGAAGTATTTTACTTGAAATGATTCCTCTGCAACTGCTTGCGCTTCTTCCATTTGATTATTTTCTTTGCTGCCATTAGTTTCAACAAAGTGCTTTTTCTGATAACATGACATTTTACAGGAAATACAGGGTCTATATCCATGTCAGATGCAATAGATTTTGCAATGTTCACACTGGATGTAAAGCCGTCATTTCGGTACTTCTTAAAAAAATGAGATGGCACCTTCAATTTGCTTAAGGGTAACATCAATGTACATAAACTCAGACTGCAACTTCTTACTGACCATTTTGATAGTAAATAAAATATCGTGCCAAATGACCATGCCAACTAAGAATTCAAAATTTCCAAGTGCAGTAACCAAAGATTTTGCATCACTCTTAGTTTTGGGGTCATCATTAGAAGTTCTCTGCAACTCCAATATAGCTTTTCTTAACTGAGGCACTTGATATCTAATAGCTTGAACACTCTTTATCCGACTATCCCAACGAGTATCACAGAGAGATTTAACTATAAGGTTTGGAACATTATCAAGCAATACCTGCCATCTTTTAGTAGAGCCTGAAAACAATATGTAGATTCATTGCACACAGGGCCGGCCCTGGGCCAGGGCAGCAGGGGCGACGGCCCGGGGCCTAGTAAAATTAGGGGCCCCAACCTGTAGGGTACAATGTATATATATAAGTCCTGATGATTGGTGCAAATAAAAAAGTAAGGGGCTGTAAGCAGGGTCGCAGGGAGGCCCATCTCCAATAGAAGCCCAACAACCAAGAGGCCTGAAGTCACGCCAGTTCGTTTTCTAGCCTGTTCGTTTTCTCGCCAAGGGGCACAGAGGCGAGCGACTCTCCTCCTCCTCAATCTGAATGCCGGTTCATTTTCTCGCCTGTTCTCCTTCACAGATCGGCCGACCGGGCAACTGCGAGTCTTTGATAGCGGCTGCCGCCAAATGCATTCGCAAGGAATAGCAGGAGACAAAGGTAAATCTCAAGATTAATTTCTCTTAGCCCTCAATCTTAATCTAGTGATCAATCTATATTCTTCTTTTTACAACAGTAGTGTTCTTGGAGTAGAGTTCGATCTATTGTTGCCGACTTGGTCCTAGATTTCTTGTTTCCTTGATGATTGAATTTGGATAGTTGCAGCGTGAAGAACACAGATTTTCACTGATTTATTGCAATTTTCAGCCTCAAGTGCCTTCAATCCTTTTCTTGCAAACATGCTGCCCAAAAAACATTTATCTGGTTTCCAGAAAAGAACAAAGAGGAAAAGAATAGATAAGTTTATTGGAACTTAGAAGGGAGCTATGCGTAAATTTGCTGTGAGTAGTGACACTGCTGATAATCTTGACGAATTAGATGGCAACGGTGTTGAAGAACAACAACCTGCTGAGAATGAGACCACAATTGAGGAAAACAATGCCCATGAGACTCCTATAAATTTGAGTGGCCGTGAGAATCCTACAAGTGTTGATGAACAAGGATCTTCTCCTTTTGATATCTATGACCCTAGAAACTGGGACGCTCTTGACAATAAAGCAAGAGATATTCTGATTGAAAAAGGGCCTACAAGGGAATACAATCTTGTATTCAAAACGGATAATATTGGAAGACATTTTTCGTACGCTTACTACTCAAGAAAGCTTAGTAATGGGGAGGTCAGTGATCGGAAGTGGTTGGTGTACTCTAAACATGTGAATAAAGTTTACTGTTTTTGCTGCCAATTGTTCAAGTCTGAAAGTAGCAAAAGTTTACTAGCATTTGAAGGACTAATGGACTGGAAGCATCTAAGTGAGAAGCTCAAACTACATGAGAATGGTGTTGAGCATATCACTAACATGAATACTTGGAATGAGGTAAGACCGAGGCTAAGTAAAAATGTGACAATTGATAAAGATATGCAGCAACAAATTGCAAAGGAGAAAGAGCGATGGAGACAAGTTTTGATTAGAATTGTTGCTGGAGTAAAGTTTCTTGCCAAGCATAATTTGGCTTTTCGAGGATCAAATGAGAAACTATACCAAGTTAGCAATGGAAACTTTTTGGGAGTAATTGAAATGATAGCAGAATTTGACCCAGTTATGCAAGATCATCATAGGCACATTCAAAATAGTGAAATTCACTATCATTATCTTGGGCATAAGATTCAGAATGAGTTAATTAGCCTTCTTGCTCAGAGTGTGAAAGATTCTATCTTAAAGGTAATTAATGATGCCAAGTATTTCTCTGTTATTCTTGATTGTACCCCTGATGTGAGCCATTAAGAACAATTGACTCTAATTGTGAGATGTGTAAACATGTCAAGTGCCACTACAAAAATAAATGAGTATTTTCTAGAGTTCCTGAAGGTGGATGATACATGAGGACTTGGACTTTATAAAGAGTTAATAACTGCACTTGGATTGCTTGGTTTGAATGTTAATGATGTTAGAGGTCAAGGATATGATAATGGTTCAAACATGAAGGGAAAACACCAAGGTGTCCAGAAGAGGTTACTTGAAATAAATCCGAGAGCATTGTGCACGCCATGTACCTGTCACAGCTTGAATCTTACTCTTTGCGATATGGCAAAATCTTGCAGCAAAGCTATTACTTTCTTTGGAGTTGTGCAACGGATCTACATATTGTTTTCAGGATCTACTAAAAGATGGCAGGTATTGCTTGATAATGTTCCAAACCTTACAGTTAAATCTCTCTATAATACTTGCTGGGAGAGTCGGATAAAGAGTGTTCAAGCTATTAGATATCAAGTTGCTCAGTTAAGAAAAGCTCTATTAGAGTTGCAGAGAACTTCTAATGATGACCCCAAAACTAAGAGTGATGCAAAATCTTTGGTTACTGCACTTGGAAATTTTGAATTCTTAATTGGCATGGTCATTTGGCACGATATTTTATTTACTATCAACATGGTCAGTAAGAAGTTGCAGTCTGAGTTTATGTGCATTGATGTTACCCTTAAGCAAATTGAAGGTGCCATCTCATTTTTTAAGAAGTATATAAATGACGGCTTTACATCCAGAGTGAACATTGCAAAATTTATTGCATCTGACATGGATATAGACCCTGTATTTCCTGTAAAACGTCATGTTATCAGAAAAAAGCACTTTGATAAAACTAATGGCAGCGAAGAAAATAATCAAATGGAAGAAGCACAAGCAGTTGTAGAGGAATCATTTCGAGTTAAATACTTTCTGGTGATGATAGATGTTGCAATTAATTCCCTGAACACCAGATTTGATGAGATTATGTCATTTGGGAGTATATTTGGCTTCTTATTCAACTCTAAAAAATTGAAATCCTTGGATGATAATGACCTGAGAAGATGTTGTGCTAATTTTGCAAAGACTTTTTCTCATGACAACTCAACAGATGTTGACTTGAATGATTTTGTTTCTGAACTGAAAGTGTTGCAAATGACATTGCCAAATACACTCATGTCAGCAGATCAGATATTTGAGTTTGTTAGAGCTGCAGATTGCTATCCAAATGTGTCAATTGCTTACCGAATTCTCTTAACTGTGCCTGTGACGGTAGCATCAGCTGAACGAAGTTTTTCAAAATTGAAGTTGTTGAAAAATTATTTGAGGTCAACTATGTCGCAAGAAAGATTGAATGGATTGGCAATATGTTGTATTGAGAAGGATGTGTTGGATAACATTGATCTCGATACTGTCGTTAATGATTTTGCATCAAAAAAATGCATGAAGGAGTTGTTTCTAATGATTACTGGAGGTTTGGAGGTTCGTTAGCATATGATTTACTTTTCGTTATGCTCTGTAACTTCTTTGATATTTGATTTAGACTTGAAGTATGACGTTGTTATCTATGACCTAGAGTATTATTTACCAAGGAAAATTACCATTGTTTATTATAGCTTTGCAAGATGTTTTTTCTATCAATGTATGGGATCATTTTTTTCCTCCAATGTCGCCACTGGGCCCATTTATTTGAGTTCGCCCTGGGGCCTCCGAAACTCGAGGATCGGCGCTGGTTTCACAACTCCAAAGAAAGTAATAGCTTTGCTGCAAGATTTTGCCATATCGCATAGAGCAAGATTCAGGCTGTGACAGGCACATGGCATGTACAATGCTCTCGAATTTATTTCAAGTAACCTCTTCTGGACACCTTGGTGTTTTCCCTTCATGTTTGAACCATTATCATATCCTTGACCTCTAACATCATTAACATTCAAACCAAGCAACCCAAGTGCAGTTATTAACTCTTTATAAAGTCCAAGTCCTAATGTATCATCCACCTTTAGGAACTCTAGAAAATACTCATTTATTTTTGTAGTGGCACTTGACATGTTTATACATGTCATAATTAGAGTCAATTGTTCTTGATGGCTCACATCAGGGGTACAATTAAGAATAACAGAAAAATACTTGGCATCCTTAATTACCTTTAAGATAGAATCTTTCACACTTTGAGCAAGAAGGATAATTAACTCATTTCTGAATCTTATGCCCAAGATAATGATAGTGAATTTCACTATTTTGAATGTGCCTAAGATGATCTTGCATAACTGGGTCAAATTCTGCTATCATTTCAATTACTCCCAAAAAGTTTCCATTTCTAACTTGGTATAGTTTCTCATTTGATCCTTGAAAAGCCAAATTATGCTTGGCAAGAAACTTCACTGCAACAACAATTCTAATCAGAACTTGTCTCCATCGCTCTTTCTCCTTTGCAATTTCTTGCTGCATATCTTTATCAATTGTCACATTTTTACTTAGCCTCGGTCTTACCTCATTCCAAGTATTCATGCTAGTGATATGCTCAATAC